GATGTAATCTACAACAAATACCCCTAAAAATCAGACTTATCAAATCTTGTGCAAAATTGAAAAAAATTCTGCAAATTTTCATTAAAATATTGCACTTTTTAATTACACTCTTTAGATACAAATTGAGTAGGCAGTTCTTTGGCCCTTCGATTTTAGTACAAGCAAGTGCAAGTTGAGGTAGCTTACCCATTGATTTTTGGCAAATTTTTCCACATAAAAAAATTATCGAACATTATTTTATATGGAGAAAATTTTTCAAAAATCATTTTGGGGTTTTTGTTGTAGACTGAACCATAGTTTTATAAAAAATTAGCGAAAGATAAAATATTAAAAAAAAAAAAAACAGTTGCCCATATTGCAAAAAACTCTCTGTACCTAAACTTTAATGATTGGCTGTATATCAGGCGGTCATACTATACACTTAATGTGTGTCACTATGTTTTTATTTTTTGAATTAATAAATACAGTTCTCAGCAACCATATAACCAAGTAATTTAGAACAAAATGGCAGCTTTCCATTTCAATTTTGTCAGAATTTGAGTACCAGAAGTTGCAAGGTGTTGGGTCCATAACAATATGGTTTAATTATTAGCTGCACAATTCTAAATAGGTCTCTACACTTTAAATGCATTATCATAAATTGGGCTAACTTGCAAAAAAATTCTAACACTTCCGAGAAAAAAGTTTGAAATTTATGTGTAAATTTGTTGCACTTTTTTGTAGCTTTCTACAAACTATTAGGCTTGGGTTTATATCGGGTTTGTCTGAGAATGAACTATATTTTAATTGAAAATTCTTAAAAATCAATAAATAAACATAAGTGGTACACAATATCACTTTGAAATGGCGTGCTATAGATATGACCGATACTGTACATACATGTACAGCCATGTAGTGCAGTTCAATTTTGCCAATAGAACTGTTATATGAAGCCAACTTTCAAGAAAAATGGACAATAGTGTATGGAATGGACTTAGAAATTTATGTATCGCAAGGATTGAACCGCCAGGAGTTCGTCTTTGTAAAATGATTCTCAAATTTAATACCATCCCTTGTGTCTTGTGCTTATATACATACATATGTACATCAGGGTGGCCTTTAATTATATGGAGAAAAATAAAAGTGTTTGGATTCTCGTTCTCCTGTAAACGTGAGAATAGCCTGAATACTAAACTGCACAAAGGCCAATAAAAGATTTAAAGCTAGCTCACAGCGCTCAAAGTTTTCATGTATTTTATATGGGAAAAAAAAACATTTTTTTCGTAGAAATAGTATAGAATTCTTGAAAATTAATATTTCTCGATGGGTAAACTCTGTTTAACCATTTTAGTTATGCCTCTTTTGCATTTCAGCGGCGTTACGCCCTTTCCATACTATACTAACGATATGTTCAAGTAAAAAAAAAAAAATCCTGCAATGCAACCTAAACCCGACTAAAAATTTAGTATTTGGTATAGAAATGATCATTCATGAATCTTCTCTGTCTTCGACAATTTTATGAGGTTCCACATCGAGCGTTTATTTTTCCCAAAAGAATAACACGTAAGAAAATTATTTATTCTCGTTTGAGGTCAATATAATTTTCTAGGATCAATCAAAACTTCCGAAACTATAAGATTATTTTGATAACATCCCATTTAAGTATTTTGCAGGTTCAGATTCTTTAAATTCCTAAACTATCCTTTTCTAATCGGTTTTATTTAGCTTTCCCTGTCTGGTTCAAATCTGCATAGTATGTACTGCAAAATTTAGGGTAGAAACAACTGTCGTATTCGCTACTTTCTCGATAATCGAACAGATCGAAAACATTGCCCTTTTCATTAAATTGTCGATAGCGAAACGAATCGAAATATCTTCCGTCTGAGAAACGATTTCACCGTCGAAAACACTACACAAAACCTTTTGAAAATGTATGATGAAAAAGAGAGTTCCGCTGCCACAAACTGAGCGACAGGTAATACTTTTACGATAATTTTTCGGAACCCGTTCTCAATAGTTTTGTGCGCAAAAGTGTCACAAAAATTTCCTAAACGGATGCGTTCTCGTACACGTTGATCGGTATGCTTGCTCTATCGACCCCGTGATCACGAGGAAAATCCTGTTTGTAATATTCGGTAGGCAACTACAGCTAAACTCCTTTAACGTGCACATCGATATTTTTTTCCATGTGTTTCAAGTACTATCGCACTGTATTATTCTTGATGCTAGTGACACTGATGCTGATAGAAGCATAAATGTTTACAACCAAGGCTGAGCCAGAATAAAAGCAATAAATAGAAATTTACCCTTGGCACGATTCAACCTAATGTCATCAACAATTTAAAAAAAGGCGGTTATTTATTTTTTAGAATCGAGTGACTTTCTAATTTAATATGTATTTAATACATCGAACAACGTAATACTGTTAATAAACAATAAATATGCTGTTTTTCTTGAAGTGGCACAAGGCATTAGTTATCACTTGCGAAATATGTATGTATGTGCATGCCAAAATGAAAACGTGTCAAGGATTTACGACATTAGAAAATAAAGCGCCAATTAATTTAAATTGATTCAAGCAAGTGATAAGGCGGCGGTTAAATCAACATTTGCGTGACATTTAATGTGGATTCATCATTATAGTACAGAGCTTAAAATAAAATTTGCAAATGCAATTCCAAAGGAAAATCCAAGTCCATTTCCACAATGTCCTGAACAGCCCACATGTATAATACTCATAGCCAAAAAAAAAATTATTTCCAAGTTTATTTTTATTCACGGGTAACACAAGCGTTAAGGCGGATTCATCGTTATAGTTTTGAACTTTTTCTCCCAGAGAGAGAAACATAACAACAACCAGATGGAAGAAAAGTTCTGAACTAAAACGATGAATCCGCCTTTATGATGTAATCAGAAAAATCACGATTTACAGACAGGATCAACAGCACATGTGCACTTTCCGTGGACTTTCAATACGCAAGATTAACTATACTAATTGGAACGAAGAGATGGCATAGCAACAATGTAAAAACATTTCTAACCAATAAACATAATTTTTTTTTTGTTAATGCATTCATAAAACCCCGCTACTAAAAGTGCCGCTAAGTAATCTTCATCAGCGCCTAAGCCTTTAAATACACTGTATCACGAATTTTAGTTTTTTTTCGTTCTGCAGACGCCACTATCCAATTTTTATGTAGAATTGCTCGGTGATTCCGAAAATCGAGTTAATTTTTTTTCTATGGATACGTTTTCGAGATATTTTCAATTTACCGTTATTCAGCTTAAAGCAAAAAATTTGTTCCTTTTAATCACATATATCTTACGAACCAATTTCACAATCTTAATATAAAATACGGCAATACGGCATAAACCGTATATACATCACTTTCCGATAGGACTTAAACTTTCTGACAAATTAATTAATCATTCCGGTGGTTTTTATTTTCTAATGAAAAAAAATCAAACTTTAACAGAACAAAAAATAAAACAATAACAGGTTCTGTGCCAAAATGTTGCAGCCTGTTCTGTTACAACAAAAAAAAAAACGAGTTACTGATGAAGAAAATCGATGGAAAAATAAGAAATAATGAGTGGTCAAATAAAAATGCGCAAAGGTTTTTTGTATGAAAAATGAGCAGGGAAGAAAGTTACTCATATGCCACGTACCTGTGTATTTTATATTAAGATTGTTAAATTGGTTCGTAAGATATACGTGATTAAAAGGAACCAACTTTTGCTTTAAGCTGCATAACGGTAAATTGAAAATATCTCAAAAACGTATCCATCGAAAAAAAATTACCTCGATTTTCGGAATCACCGAACAAATCTACATAGGAATTGGACAGTGGCATCCATAGAACATTTTTGCTGTAAACCAGTGATATTTATTCGTCAATAAACACAAAACGAAAATAATATGCTTGCGAGATTATTGAATGTCTGGTAAAAATGGTACAGTACGCTTCGTCTGATAAAAGCTATTTTTTACATAATTATTTAGGCTTATCACATTAGAACGATTTCTGTGTATACTATACATACATACACATGTACATATAGTTAGTACATACATGTATCTATTGTGTCTTCAATAGACACGAGATCTGAGCAGGTTCTATGCAATCAAAGAACCTTTTAAAAATGTTTGTCCAACTGACCTGGAGGAATTTCGAGGCACTCAGAACTCTAGAACGCAACAATACTGTGGACTGCAGAGACGGAGTTGCACTGAAGTGTAAACATTCATACTAGAATCTACTAGTTAGCCTTAGGCTTAACCAGACCAGTTTGGCCCAGGCTATTCCGATTTATGCTATCGCATGCAGGTAGAACTAGTTTAGCCTATACAATCGGATATGTCCGGTAACATATACACTGCAAAGTGCGGTAAAAAATTGTTTTATAAACTGGAAGCTTAAACATTTTCCGTTCTCCATGTAGATTTCTCTGCGGGTAATCATGGCCGCTCACATATCGATGGCTGAGTGGAAGATCGACCTATCTCGGCAGCCAGTTCGAAAACATTCTATCTCAAAAAACTTTTCAAGAACGCTCTATTTCAGAATTCGTTTGAAAAACGCCCTATCTCAGCTGCCGATTCAAAAACGCCCTACAACAGCATATTTTCAATACATTTTGAAGTGAGATAGGGCATTTTTGAACCGAATTTTGAGATAGGGTGTTTTTCAATAAAATTCTGAAATAGAGCGTTCTTGAAAAGTTTTTTGAGATAGAGCGTTTTCGAACTGGCAGCCGAGATAGGTCGATCTTCCACTCAGCCATCGATATGTACATAGATAACCTCACAATTTGTAAGTGCGGACAAATGTATTCAAATGTTTGCAAAATGCTTTCTAAATAAGCATCAAAAAAAAAAAAAAAAATACGCTTATCAGCAGCACGCTGCTTATCGCTGCCCTAACAAGTATTTGCTCAGTAACACAATCCCAATGTCCATTGCTGATTCGCCTACGACGACAGTCGCCTTCACTATCTACTTTAAAAAGCTTGAACCGAGCATCGCTCAATCTCAGTTCAGCTGTGCAGTCTAGAGTGGTCGAACAGCCTAGCTTTTTGACTTAAAAAACGTTTATTTTTGACAACAGAAATTTAAAAAAAAAAACTTCCTTTAAAAAGGACTCATTAAATAACGTGAAAATAAAAACCAAAAAACAAAAAAAAAAAAACCAACAGTGGCAAAAAAAACGCCCCAAACATGTGCTCAAAAAGTCAGGATCTAAGCAAGCGCACATTCTTCATACTTAGTGGAGTATCCAATGCCTTGGGCAGGTCATTGGCCATCGAAATGTGCCGCCACTACAGCGCCGATTCCCTTGCCATACTCATCGACCCCTCCGAGGAAAATTTGCAGGAAGTAAAGAAAGAAATTGAATACCTAGAACGTGGTATTAATGTCGTTTGCTGGCCGATCAAAGTGTGGCAAGAGGCCAACGGCACTTACTTCCGTCAGCTACTCGCCGCAATTTTTGAGAAATACACCGCTACCAAATGCGAATTCGAACTCGCCTTCATACTTCACAACGAGGGCAAGATGGCAACTAATAATTTGATGGAACCACAGTTGACTGAGGATTGGTTGTCCTTTGTGCAGGAGAACCTCTACGCGCCCATTGCACTCAATAGAGCCTTCCTAAGCGCACCGCAACTAACCAAAATCACAAAACTTGTCGCCAACATCACATCCAGCTTGATGATCCGTCCATTCGTTTATAATTCATTGTTGTGCTCTTGCATGAAAGCACGCGATATGTACTTCCGTTCGATGGCCAATGAGGAAATACGCAATGACGTTAATGTAATCAGCTACTCGCCGGGCATTTTGGAAACACACAAGCCACAATTGGACGCGAACAACAATGAGGTCGATTTGTCGGATTTGGGTGTGAACGAAAAATGGCTGCAGTTGCCACGTGTCAATGCTAGGGAATCTTCGCTTAAATTGATTAACATTCTGCAAGAAATGTCCTTTATTTCGGGACATGACGTCGACTACTATGACACCTTCAATTTATGAGGAGCACTAATGAAATATTATCACACATGCGCTAATCATGCTATAATACTGCCGTGTGGTAATATTTCATTGGAAATTTTTGCTTATTTGGTGTTGCTGCTGATTAATGGTGATATTTTGAGAGAGAATTATGAAAAAATTAAAAATAAAATATTACAAGAAATTCTTTCGGCGAACATCGAAGATGGCGAGAACGAAGAAGAAAAAGAAATTTGTGTTGTTTTATTAAGAGTTTATTGTGGAGGAAAATAAAATGGATAGTTTTTAGGGAAAAGACAGAAAAATGACTATGCATTTATAAGTACATAGGTTTGATAAGATTTG